ATCTATATATATATAAAGAGGTTGTTGGAAAAATACATTAATAGAAAGTTTGACCAAATAAATATAATGTTTGACTTACTATTAATGGAAAGATAAAAAAAACACATGTGAATCTTTAATAACAAAATATAAATCCTAATTTGGTAACAAATTTGGAGATTCTTATGGCAAAATTTGAATCCCATTTTTTTCGTATCATATTTTATTTTTTTACCAAAATTTAAATCATATCTTTTTTGGTAACAAATTTGGAGATTCTTATGCAAAAAATGTGTCAATTATTTATGAAAATAATTCTAAATACAAATTAATTTAAGATCTGTTGAAATTGGATATAAATTTAGGAAGCAAATAGTTGTATAATTCTTAACCAATTCTTCCAATCTTATTGAATAATTTTTTCTTTCAAAAAAATTGTGTAAATTGGATGTACATTCAAAATTGTGTCCACATTTTATGGTAACAAAAGCAGTTCATCATTGATATTTAAAGTCACCTTATCCAATTATTTAAGAAAAATTGTATGCAACTTTTCAAAATTTAAGTGCTTCGATGTTTTTGGATTCATATGTTTTTTCTTAATCATGTTTTACCAAGATTTTGGTAAGTTCATATTTTCATATCATTTGCTTTAGGAAAGAGACAGTTGCATAAACATTAACAATTTATTTCATTTTTTTATTATAATTATTTTCAATTCAATTTGTTTGATACAAAAACTGGTGCAATGTTAGGAAAATTTGGTTGCATTTTTAGGAAAAATTGATAATTTTTTTTATTTGGTTTAAAAAAAATTCGGATCAATTTGTTTGATAAAAAAATCGGTTTATTGGTAGGAAAATCGGTTTTATTTCCGGGACTAACTAATGATTCTTTTCAATTTTTCTTAATTGAAATTTAGAATTAAATTTAAAATAAATAATGGGTGAAGATCCCTAAAAAATTCTACTTTTTTTCTACTTTAATTTTGTTCAGTAAATAAGATCCTTTATTTTTTTCTAAAATTTGTTAACTAATAACTAATAATATGCAATTTTGTATAAATTTGAACACCTATGTAGTACTTTACGTGCCAAATAATCAAATTAATAATGTTGTACATAAGGAAGTGTTTAATAACATAAAAATTTCATTTTTCATGAAATTTTTAATGGCCTGAGACAATTTAAATACAAAAATACTTTTTAAAAAATATATAGGTAATAAATGCTCCCATGCATAATATGGGCACCGTACAAGTTTTTTAATAAGGGCAAAAGAGTACTTTTTGGGTGCGGTAAATATTAACACTCATCAGTAAATCAGTGAAAGAGTGTGTGATATGCATATATGATAGATCATCTTAANAAAAATAAGAAAAAAAAAAAAAAGCCATTTAAAATATTTCCGCGTGTGGGTGGGTGTGTCATGAATATCGTCCCACTCTTTCTCTCTATATATATACTATAGTCCAAGACCCCATTTAAGATATTAGTGCAAATATTATTTCATCCCGCCCGTGCTTGGGAGACTGTGGGTGTGTAGTGATTCGTGACTACCATCCCTTTGTCTCTCTCTCTATATATTACATATATAGTTGTCAGCCCTCCCAACAAGCACAAGGGCTTCAATATGGGAAGTGTCCGACCAAGTTCCGCCGACTTTCCTGGCGGAGCGCCGCCCCATGTGGTTGCCGGAGAAAAAGAACTAGACGCCGGCGCACAGTTTGTTCTTAAATCCAGAGGTTAGTTCAGTCAATCATTTATGTTAATTATTCATATATTTGAATGATCTTATCTAATAACTTTTCTGCTACAATAATTTCTTGATTTCGTTTAGTGTGCCAACAAAGCCATCTCTTTATTTATAATTAATTTAATAATGAACAAAAATAAATATGCAATCATCTTTCATTTCTTAATTTTTCAGGATCATGGATACACTGCGGATACCACTTGACTACGTCGATTGTGGCCCCGGCCTTGTTGAGCCTTCCGTTTGCATTAGCATCGCTTGGATGGACGGCTGGGATTGCAAGCTTGGTGATAGGTGCAATTGTCACATTCTATTCTTACAACTTATTATCACTTGTGTTAGAGCACAATGCTCATTTGGGACGTCGCCATCTTAGGTTCCGCGACATGGCTAACGATATCTTAGGTACGAAATTATGTACAAAATCATTAATCCCCAATTTTCCATCTCTATCTAGATACCTACAAATATGTAGTTGTTTAATAATGTCTTTCGTTTTAATTATTTATTTATGGTTAAACTATATTTTGAAATGCTTAATTTAACTAGTGAATTTAATACCAGAGAGTCATGAGATACAATAATTTGAAAATTATTAAAATTTAGGAGAAGACTACAACCCCGTCACGTAACGATTCCATAAGGATTTTTAACCATACATTATCTATAATAGCTAACTTACATATATATCTAAAGGCTAAACTCTCACGGAATCATTCCGGGACTTTAGCATTTTCCTAAAATTTAGTTGGTAAAAATTATATTTTCTTTTGACAACCTAAACTATTATTATCATGATGTATAGATTGGGAGCAATAAATGTTAAGTTAAGATTAAGAAAATTGTGTTGGTAGAATGTTAGGTTTGAAGAACGGAATTGACATTTGGATACGTATATATATATATATATATATATATTTTCATGATTTTACGAGGTGGTGGGGTCATTTCATTATTATAGTGAAGTTTAAGTTGGCGGAGAGGAGAGGGAATTGACAATTTTGATCTAGTGTAGTGTTCGTTTGATTTTGAAATATAGGTTTGACAAATGGAACCTACAAAAATTAGAAAAAGTGCAACAATAATAGTAAAATATTTGGCGGAAAAAGAAACACGACTCAGCTAAAGACGCCCACCAAGTTGGTTGCAGCTTGCAATAAATGTGGTCAATTTGCATGCCAAATTTGACCATACATTAAAACTAGAAAAAATTAAAACCAAACCTTAATCTAACTTTTGAAATTATAATAGTGTACCCTTTTGGCCTTTAACTTCTACTTCATAAATTGACTGGATATGATGCGATTTATTTCAAGGAGGTTTTGTTTATTATGTTTTTTTGTTATGAATTTTTGTTCAATGCTGAAGTTTATTAATCAAGCTATAGTAACTTAATACTTTCACAGGTTACATTATTTTAAATATTAATAACTTATGATTGATTATGAATAAATTCTATAAAATTATCTCAAATAATATTATTCATTTATTTATATACATATTTTAAACAGAACTCATCACTCATTTCATCCATTACATTTATATTTTACTATTATATTTGTAAAGTTATTGTTTTTCTATATATCCAATACTTTTATAATTTTTTTCTTCAGTGAAATAGACTTTTTTAACCTTCAGTTTCTCGCCTAAAATTTTTTCTTTTTAAGTATGTTTTTTCAGTGTACAAAATCAATATTAGAAATTATTCAATCTCAATCTAAACTTTCACCCAACTTTGTGTCAAATTTTATACAAATTCTTACGTTAGGAATATCTTTTTCTCCACGTGACAAACAGCAAAATCCTATTTAGTAATAAATTAATAATTATAATAATTAATATTATTACTGTTTGGCAGGTCAAAGATGGGGGCGGTATTATGTCGGCCCAATACAATTCTTGGTTTGCTACGGTGCCGTTGTGGGCTCCACTCTTTTGGGTGGACAGTGCATGAAGGTCACTCTCCTATTACAATTTTCGAACTTTTTTTATTATGTAACTTTTTTTTTTTTTCCCCATAATTTTTATAAATCAAAATGCACAAATGTGCGAATACACAGTAGCCAACGGCTGAATACACAGCAGCCAACAGCTGAAAAAATAGGAGGACAGGTCAGAAGCCCGCCTAGAATCCCGACTAACAACGCTAGAATAAAAAACACACTCACAACTAAACTAACCAACAACACAAACAACTAGAACAACTACAAGGACCCCAACAGAGTAATACCCTAGTGTGGGACCCCAACGGAGTAATAAGTTTGATACTCGGGCTCACATGGGCCAAAGGCCCAAACCAAAAACACAAGTCCTATTACAACACAAAACATATAACACAAAACGGATAAAATAAATACTAAAGAAACGCCCTTCCCCAGCCAATAAAACGGATTGTATCCACTAGAGTAACAGTCAATCCAAGAAATATCCGAAATCCTAGGCCCAACTTCCGAAACGGCTGTCGAACGCCTATACAGAAGCTCAACTTGGATCCCGAGACAAACTTGAATCAATCCACCTTCGACCGATAGGACAACCGGCCAGCTCCCGTCGACCGGGCCCATCCAGTTCCCACACCAGAGAACTGTAAGAGAAGAAGCTGTCCGTTCCCCTACTCCGGCACCCCGACCAAGGACAGGACGCCGGATTTCCTTGCCATCCGCGGACCAACACACCTCTCAACACCCCGCCGGTCAATGATAACTCAACCTCAAGCCCTAAAAGTCCAGACCTAGAAGTCCATCTTGAAATCGCCCATGTAACTTTTAATGAATAATTTGGAATATCTTGTTAGTCAAATCGAATTTTGAAATTAAGATTTTGTATATTGATCACTGGACTTGGACTTAATTATTCGATCAGCATGCCTCAAGAACCCAAAGTAATTTATATATATTTCATTGGAAAATCCAAATGACTTAGAATATGGTGTGTACTTGCAGGCAATTTATTTGTTGTCGAGACCACAGGGAAGTATGAAGTTGTACCAATTTGTAATTATATTTGGAGGGCTTATGCTGATTTTAGCTCAAATCCCCTCTTTTCACTCGTTGAGGCACATCAATTTGGTCTCTTTGGTGCTTGCTCTTGTTTACAGTGCATGTGCCACTGCTGGTTCCATCTACATTGGTAACGACGACGACGACAACAACAACAACAACAACAATAACAACAACAACAACAACAACAACAATAATAATAATAATAATAATAATAATAATATTAATAATAATAATAAAAATAATAATAATAATAATAATACTGGTCAATATTATGCAGGAAGTTCATCCAAGGGGCCAAGAAAAGATTATTCACTACACAGCAACAGTGAAACTCGGGTATTTGGCATGTTTAATGCGTTGGCTATTGTCGCCACCACTTTTGGCAACGGGATTATTCCAGAAATACAGGTTCATTTTATTGCTACCCTGAGTTATATTTGTTGATAACTACAAAAGGTACCCCTGGTTTTGGAGTTTATTACATATGTCCCTAGGTAGCTAATTATTGTTTCAACTATTCAAGAGATAATTTCTTAATTTTGGATGTATTTAACAATGTAGTCGACTGCACTGACCGGCTGCTATAAAATTAGTACAATTGCGATCAAAATTGGCCCTGTTTTTTTATTTTTTTCTTAACTGGTTATTATTCGAATGTTTGTTTAATGTGATGTTGCAGGCAACATTGGCGCCACCTGTGAAGGGCAAGATGTTTAAAGGGCTGTGCATTTGCTACGCAGTGGTCACAGCCACTTTCTTCAGTGTAGCCATTTCTGGGTATTGGGCATTTGGAAACAAAACTAATAGCCTAATCCTCACAAATTTCTTGACTGACGGCAAAGCCTTAGTCCCCAAATGGTTCATTTTAATGACCAATGTCTTCACTATTCTGCAGCTATCGGCCGTTGCAGTGGTAAAAACAATAATTTAGGATAGAT